GGAAATACCACTGGCTGGCCTTTCAAAATAGAACCAATATCCAAACACATATCCAACCAGTATCTGACCTCTCTAGTTCAAGCCATTGTCATTTCTTACTTGGGGTCCCTGCTTTTGTTCTTTTTTTCTACAATCTATCCTCAACCCAATCTAGAGCATGACCTTTTAAAACATAATCAAAACCTTTTAATGAATCAACATGCCCCTCATTGTAAAAAGGCAAATTCCTTTTCTATGCTCAACTGTGAGTACCTGTATCAGCCTACATAAATGCTGTCTGCCCTTTTCCAGCCATTCTGAGTTGTCACACCCAGAACTTAGTAGACTTGATCAAGTTTCCAGTTCTTTTTATGGGGGCAGGATTACTGGGGATTGAACTCAGGGCACTCAACCACTGAGCCACATCCTCAGCACTATTTTGTATTTTTTTTTTTTTTTTAAAGACAGGGTCTCATTGAGTTGCTTAGTGCCTCACTTTTGCTGGGGCTGGCTTTGAACTCCCAATCCTCCTGCCTCAGACTCCCTAACCACTGGGATTAACAGGCATGCACCACCACGCCCAACCTTTTACTGGTTGCTCTCTGCCTGGAATGTCATTCTTCCAGATATTCTCAGGCTTGCCCATGACTTCCTTTAACACTCTGCTGAAAGATCTACTGTGACTATCTTCTTAACTACTAGAGGTCCCTGTTTTTTTTTTTTTTTTTGGTTTATTTTCAAACCTATAGCATATTACAAGGTTTACTCTGTTTTCCTCAAGAGAGCGGGGTAGTGAATCCTGGAAGGCTTATCTATAGAGACATGTGGCACACATGAGTTACTTAGTAATATTTGCTGAGGGAATGGATGGATGGATGGATGCCCTAACACCACTTCAGTCAAGTCTTTCTCTTTTGTTCTCACCTGTATCACTCATTTAGTACTCATTATATATTGATTTTTCTGGGTACATGTTATCCGCCTACCTAGATTATGTACCCCTGTGCTAAGTGCTGTGCATAAAATTAATATTGAAGGGGCTGGGGATGTGGCTCAAGTGGTAGCGTGATCACCTAGCATGCATGAGGCACTGGGTTCGATTCTCAACACCACATAAAAATAAAATAAAGATACTGTGTCCACCTAAAACTAAAAAATAAATATTAAAAAAATTAATATTGAATAAATATTTGATGAAAACGGTGGTATGGTTCAATGGTACAGTACTTGCTTAGTATATGTGATACCCTGGGTTCCAGCTCCAGCACCACAAAATAAATAAATATATATTTGATGATGAAATATCAGTTCAGTGCCTTTTTCTTTCAGAACTGACAGCTACAGTAAAACTATTTCAAAATGAGACACTCCACTTAGAAAAGCAGCATTCTGAACTCAGGTATAATTCAGTGGTAGAGTGTATGCCTTGCATGCATGCAACTCTAAGTTTGATCCCTAGCATCAAGAGCAAAATCAAAAACCAGCAAAGAAGTATTCTGGGAAGCAGTATAACGTTAAGAAAAAATTAGAACATTTGAAACACAGACTATATATTAAATAACAATTATGAATTGGAGACTTACGTAGCATGACAAAAATAAGGTTAATATCAAATAGATTTTATGTCACTTTTTAATCTAAAATAGCATAAACTTCAGTTGGGCGTGGTGGTGCACACTTGTAATCCCAACAACGTGGGATTTTGAGGCAGGAAGATCACAAATTTGAGGCCATCCTGGGAACTTAGTGAGATTGTCTCAAAATAATAAAAAGGGCTGGGATGTAGCTCAGGGATAGAGGGCATCAGTAAGTTTAATCCCCAATATTACAAAAGTAAATAAAAAATAAAACAAAATAAGATAAAGTTTAGTGGGGAAGCTTCTAACTATAACAGAGAAAATATACTGTACTGGAGAAATTATGTGCCAATAAACAATTGTTCTAAATTCATATTACACACATACTTATAAAACAAGATTATTTTGTTTACATTAAGGCATTGGCTTATCTCTTTAATATTTATTTTGTACCGCATAACCAAAGTGGTGGTTGTTGTTGTTTTGAGACAAGGTCTCACTATGTTGCCCAGACAGGCTTTGAATTCCTGGGTTCAAGTGATCCTCCTGCATCAGCCTCCCAAGTAGATGGGGCTATAGTTGCACACCAATGTTCCTGGCTAAAGTGCATATTTTTTAAAAATATACTGGCTAGGGGCTGGAGCTGTGGCCCAGTGGAAGAGCGCTCACCTAGCATGCATGAAGCACTGGGTTTGATCTTCAGCACTACATAAAAATAAAATAAAGGTATTGTGTCCACCTACAACTAAAAAAAAAGAAAAAGAAAAAAGAAAATACACTGGTCAATACTGTAACATTAAATGCAAATCTTCTCAGTCATCTGGTCCATAGTTCATGCATTATTTTCTTAGTAATTATGTGAGGGAAAGATAAATAAGCATACCTCTTTAAGATTTATGCATTTTCTTTTTTAAAAAAATTTTTTTTAGTTGTTAATGTACATTTATTTATTTATTTATTTATTTATATGTGGTACTGAGGATGGAACCCAGTGCCTCACAAATGCTAGGCGAGTGCTCTGCTACTGAGCCACAACCCCAGCCCCAAGATTTATGCATTTTCTTAATTGATTATGCATCTAAGTTAACCTCAAAATAAGGGCTGGGGCTGGGGCTTGAATCCACAGATGCAGAACCTACAGATATGAAGGGTTGACTATACTCAAAATTTATCACATAACAAAGACAATCAAATTTTCTGTGATACATTCTACATATTTTATATAATATGCTATTTTACATTTACTTATGGCCCTCCCTGCCTTTTACAAATTATATGTCTATCCATGTATGGTGGTACATGCCTGTAATCCCAGTCACTTGGGAGACGGAGGCAGGAGGATGACAAGTTTAAGCCAGCCTTCGCAACTTTGTAAAATCCTGTGTCAAAAAAAAAAAAAGGTGGGGCTGGGGTTGTGGCTCAGTGATAGAGCTCTTGCCTAGCATTGGGTTCGATTCTCAGCACCACAAACAAATAAGTTCATCAACAACTAATAAAATACTTTAAAAAAAAGGGTGTGGGGCGTGCTGGGGTGTGGCTCAGGGGTAGAACGCTTGCCTAGCATGTGTGAGTCACTGGGTTCGATTCTCAGCACCGTATATAAATAAATGAATAAAATAAAGGTTCATCAACAACTAAAAACAAAAGTCAGACAGGCTTCTAAAGTAAAAGAGTTTTAAAAAAAAAAAAAGCTACCTTTAGGCCGATTACTACAAGCAGCTCTAAATATGTCCCATTTATAAATCTTAAGTGCAATCACACCTTGAGAAAAGGGGTTGGACTTTCACAATTTCTAAAATCATAAAATTCTCATAGATCTGGAGAATCAGAATACAAATAGGAAATAAGAATAAATCAATCTATTTCTAAGTATATTTAGTTCCAATATACTAAGTATATATATATTCTAAGTATATGTTTCCTTAGGAAACATCAAAGTTTTTTAAAAAAATCTAGAATAGCAGTATTTATTTTATATCCAAGAAGTACTTTTAAATCAAAACACACAAAATCAAAAACAACTTTTACTTTACCAAGAAAATAGACCAATTGATCTTTTTAAGTTATAATAAAAGGGATCATATGTGAAATGTATTTCACAGCTTTTAAAGGTAGTTCATTTTACTTTCTCACTTGAACATTACTTATAAGAATTCATTTTTATTAAGTAATCTAAAACCATCATTGTATGATACTGTAGATCTTTTACCATGCTCAAAATGGTTAAAATTCAGTATGGACAGCAAGCTAACTCATAAGAAATCAACTTTAATGCACAAATATGTTCAGTTGGTAGAATACCAGCCAGCTACGACAAAGTGCAGTAAACTCCCCCCACCCCCTGTACTGGGGATTAAATCCAGGGGCAACTCTACCACTAAACTACATTTTTATTTTTTATTTTGAGACAGGGTCTCTTGGACTGGGGATGTGGCCTCATTGGTAGTGATTTTCTACCAAGTATGAGGCTCTGTGTTTGATCCCTAGCACTGTGAAGGAAAACAAACAAAAAATCATTAAGACAGGGTCTCAACTTAATTACCCAGGATAGGCTTGAACTTGCAATCCTTCTCCTGGGCAGATAGAATTACAAGCATGCACCACTGTGCCTGGCACAGGATAGTCCACTTTAATACATAAAATAGCAGACTCAATACTCCTTGGCTATGTCCAAAATGTTTGTATTTATATAAAAAATTTTAAATTCACTCCCATATTATGCTTCCCACCAGATTTTGAAATTCCTCATCTTCCCAAATTAGGGTTATTAGCAATAACTAATAAAGAAAGTTATTATGGACCTCATCTGGCAAGGAGCTAAACTTAAAGTTAGTTCTTGTGGTGGTACACAGACCATTCATGAACTACCTCCAACAGTTCAGGGAGCATATAATGCTCAAGAGCTGTGGTCAGCATGAGTATATTCAAGAATCCATAGAGGGGCTAAGATTGTGGCTTGAGCAGTGGTAGAGCGCTCGCCTAGCATGTGTGGGGGCCCTGGGTTCTATCCTCAGCATTATATAAAAATAAATAAAAAATGAAGCTATTGTGTCCAGTTACAACTAAACAATAACTATTTTAAAAAAAAAGAATCCATAGAGAAATTTCACAATTTCTAAAATCATAAAATTCTCATAGTGAGGTCCTAAGCAACTTAGTGAGGTCCTAAACAACTTGGTGAGACCCTGTCTCTAAATAAACTATTTTAAAATGGCTGGGGATGTTGCTGAGTGGTTAAGGCCCCTGGATTCAATCCTTGGTATCCCCGCCACCCCCGACCAAAAAAAAAAAAAAAGTTTTTTGGGTTTATGCCAAGTATGCCCTTTAGTAATGTGACCTCAGACAAATTAATCTATTTTTTCTAAGCTTATTACTTAATGAATAAAACTAAAGCTAAAAGTTACTCTATAGGGTAACAGTGAGAATTATTTATTAAATACCCACCAGGTTCTGAAACAGTGTAAAAGTTTAATGAATAGTATTTCTCTTTCCTTCCACTTTCTTCCTTGTGATAATGCTTCAATTGCAGGTCAGGACACAAAGTTTAATTCCTGATGATACAAGAGAGCAATCTGAATTTTGGTTGAACTGCAATAAAAGCCATTTCTAGAAAGGGCACATGTATTTCCTTATTTCCTTGTATACTCAGGTTCAGAACTTTAATTTCAGGTAATATAAGCATTTAATGTGTTTGCAAATGAGAGAGTCAAAGAACCCACAAAAACAGAAAATGTTCAATTTCACAACTTTATTAAACAGAAATTTATAATTAAACAAGCCACAACTTTATAAAGTTGGTTAGGATTTAGGAGAATCTGGGTATAATTAAGTAGATGCGGTACAGTGAAGTCTCAGTACTGGGAATGAAAATACAAGAGGCAGGGAGGGAAAAACAGACCAAAGCCAGTTAGTTGCTCCAGGTTTCTTCCACCTTCCTATGCAGCCTCTGTCTACAGCAGCAACTCTCTTGAAACACACTACAGGGGCAAGCCACCTCAGCACAGCATACCCTGGGCTCTACTGCAACCAGCCAGGTGTCCCTGCAGTGCTTCCACCTTGAGGCTCTGGTCAAGTTCACAATGGCACTCCTCTTCTGTCATCTCTCCCTTCTCATGCTCATCCCCCACCCCATCGCCTTTCTGCCAGCTTCCTCACTCTCCATCTTTCCCACTTCTACTACAGAACATTATGCATCAAGAGAAGCATACCATGCAGATGGATTTGGAATGTGCTTAAATCATACTGCCTCACTGAGCCAAGCACCATTTCTTTTACCCAATTCCACCCACACCTATATGATATTTTCCAAAGATTTGCTCCTCTCTCCTTAAGCAATTGCTTTGACAAATGACAATGGATCTTTTCAGTGAGCATTGTAGACATTTATTTTGAATTCTATCAGCTACTCCATTCTCCTAATTTCACTTTACTATTAGTTTGTAGCCAATTCTGGGAACAGGAACTTCATGAAAAAGTGAATTGCAGATTCAAAGAGGAAAGAAAGAGAAAGTTAAGGCAAATACTAGACACTTCCACCTGGCATTATTCAGATCTTTAAAAAATTATTTTCTCAACTAGGTGTGGTGGTACATATCTGTGATTCCAGAGACTCAGGAGACTGAGGCTTCCGGAAAGATTACAAATTCAAGGTCAGCCTCAGCAATTTAGTGGGACCCTGTCTTAAATTTTTAAAAAATTCTCAACATACTTCCTCCGTGCCCTATAATCTGATTTTTTTCCCCATCATATGCAGAGGTCAGAATGTCAAACACTAACAATAGCTGCCACATCCAATGGTCTTCCTAGTTTTTTTCCTCATAGATTCCCTTTAATTAAAGGCATTGCTGATCTCCACCTATCTAGACAAACTTTTTCTTTTAGTTCTCATCATTTTTCTCTACCTAGGTTCCCTAGGGTATTCAGTCCACAAATGTTTACTGAGTGCCCAGCTTGTTTTAAATGCTATGCTAAAGGCTTAGGATAAATCAGTAAACAGGAAAACAAATAAGATGTTCACACCCTATTCCAGAATCTGTTTATAGATGACTGTAGAGCACATTCAAGTTTGGTACAATAATAAAGAGGAGACACTTTCTCTTTCATCTCAGTAGTTTATGAGATTTGATTCCTAAATGAACTGTCTTCTGTGGAAAATACAGTATTATATAATGAGTACGAAGTATTATGCAATAATATCTGTATCTGCCATAAAAGTGTAAGTGCTAAATTCTTAAAAGGTAATTCATAACCAGGTATGGTGGCACATGCCCGTAATCCCAGCCCTGGCAATTCAGTGAGACCCTGTCTCAAAATAAAACCTGAAAAAACAAAAATACCCTACTGGGGATATAGCTCAGAGGTAGAAAACTCCTGGGTTCAATCCCTAGTATAGGAAAAAAAAAAAAAAAAAAAAAAAGGAAGTAAGTTCAAGGCAAGTCTCAGAACTTTATGAAACCCTGTTATCAAAATTCGAAAAAAAAAAAAAAGGGCCAGGCATAGTGGGTACACACCTGTAATCCCAGCAGCTTGGGAGACTGAGCAGTAGGATCACAAGTTCAAAGCTAGCCACAGCAACTCAGTGAGGCCCTAAGCAACTTAGCAAGACTCTGTTTCAAAATAAAAAAAATAAAAAAAGGCTGGGGATGTGCCTCAGTGATTAAGCACTGCTGGGTTCAATCTACAGTACCAAAAAAAAATTTTTTTTCCAAAAAGGTTGAGGACATAGCTCAGTGTATAACACTCCTGGGTTCAATCCCCACATCAAAAATAAACAAAATGTAAATTCCTTTTTATTGTGACAAAATATACCATAAAATCTACTACTGTGGGGGCTGGGGTTGTGGCTCAGTGGTATAGCTCTTGCCTACCATGTGTGAGGTACATGGTAAAAATCATTGAGACATTGATTCTCAGCATTGCATATAAAAAAAATAAAGGTCCACTGACAATTAAAAAAAAACTATTTTAACCATCTTTAACATACAGTTCAGAGGCATTAAGTACATTGACTGTGCTGTGTAACCTACTATCCAGCTCCAGAATTTTTTCATTATCCCAAATTAAACCTCTAAAATAATAAGTTAAATCCAGTAACTCATTTTTTTAATTAATTTTTTTTAATGTGTGTTGAGAATCGAACCCAGTGCCTCACACATGCTAGGCAAGTGCGCTACCACTTGAGCCACATCCCCAGCCCCTCAGTAATTCATTTTTAACCACAGTGATGTTCATAGTCAAATGCCCCCATCCCCAATATCTTCCTGTTTTGCTGCCCACCTAACATTCCAGGACTCATCATTGAAGTCACCCTCCTGCAACTCTCTCAATTCCCTAGCACCTCCCTTCCTCTGTCACATTTGCAGGGAAAATCTCCAATCTTAGTTAAACCCATCAACTGCCTGCTCTTTGCTGCCCTTTTCAACAGCTGAACATTGCTCACAGAAAATTATACACATAGCTTGGCTGATTAGTTCCACCTCAAATTCTTGACTCCAAGACAGAGCCAGACATTCAACACCACCCAGCAATCCTACCTTGCTTCCCACTGAGTTCCTTGTCCTGCTGCCCAAGGTGAGGTGTCCATTTCTCCTGAAACCAGTCACTACCCCTTCTTCCTTTACTTTAAGTTGCTGGCCTTGCCTCCAGCTTCACTGAGAAAACAGAAGCCATCAGAATGTAAAGTCCTATATTCTGCCTTCATTTGTAGATCTCCTTGCACTTTGCCCGTATTTCTCTGCCTTCTCCCCTACTATGCAGTAAGTCATCCTGTACCCACTATAGGCAAAACCTCTTCTTCCGTTCTGAATTCTTTCCCCCTTTCTTAAGAATTCTGTGCATTTGGGGCTGGGGTTGTGTCTCAGAGGTAGAGCCTAGTATGCATGAGGCACTGGGTTTGATCCTCAGCACCACATAAAAATTTTTAAAAATAACGATATTGTATCCACCTATAATTAAAAAATAAATATTTTTTTAAAAAAAATAATTCTGTGCATTTTGGTACTTTCCTCTCTCTTCTGCATTAATCTCCCTATTAGGTATTCTTAGCCTATTTGAAAATGTTCCTTTATCTCCCACCATTTTTTTTTTTTTTTTTAGTATTCTTCCTTGGGTTGAAAGAATAGCTCAATGGTAGAGCACTTATCTATGTCTAGCATGCACAAGGCCAGGGTTCAATCCTCCAACACCACAAAAACAAACAAGGAAACAACAAAAAAAAAGCCATCTCTTTGTACCCATCCCTCATCACTGCTGTGCTATTTCTCTCCTCACAGCATTCACCTCACTTCCCATTCTCTCTTTAACACATCCCAATCTGGCTTCCATCCCCATATACCACTATTTGTTAAAACAGTCACCCAACATTGCCAAAGCCAAATGGACATTTCCCTATCCTTACTTTTCAGCAGCATTTTATGAAGGTGACCATTCTCTCTTTCTTGAAGGATAAAATACTCATTCTCCCACTTTAATGGCTGAGCCTTTTCAATCTCCTTGACTTAACCTATAGTCATTAAAAGTGGTTAGGGCTTGATCTTAAGGCCTCTATGTTCACAAGTGATCTCAACTAGTTCCATATCATACCATCTGCAAACTAGAGACTCCCAACATTATGTCCAGTCTAGACCTCTCCTCTCAGCTCAACTCAAGTATTCGCTGTCCACCTGACTCTCCCTTTGGATATCTCATAAGAATATTTAAAACAACAGATTCCACAAGAACTTTTTACCTACCTCCAACCACCTATTCCTCTTCCAGTCTTCTCCAACCAGCAAATGAAACCATCAGTCACCCTAGATTTAGACAAAAGCCTAAAGACATCCTTGATTCCTCTTCCTCTTTTCCAGAGCCAACTCATTATGTAAAGCCTTTTGATTCCATCTCTAAAGTATATTTGAAACCTGCCATCTACTCTTCTCTATCTTCATTGCCACTCTACTTGCCTAAGATACCATCGGTTTGGGGTTGAATGTTGCAATAACCTAACTTCCCTCTCTGCTTCTTCCCTTCCTCCACACAGCAGACAGGAGCAAAAGAGGAGCTTAAAACTTTAAAAAAAAAACAGGAGCAGGGTGGATGGTGCTTGCCCACAGGTGGTGCCTGCCCATAGTACTAGGGAAGCAGAAGCCAGGGATCACTTTAACTTCTTAAGAATTTAAGATCAGCCTGGGTGACATAACAACACCCTGTCTAAACAAATGAGAAGGAGAAGAAAAGAAAGAAAACAAACAAGGGCTGGGAGTGTAACTCAGCAGTATTGTGATGCTTAGCATGTGTGTGAGGTACTGGGTTCAATCCCTAGTACCCAAAACAAAACATTACCACTACCCTAATTAAAATCCTTCAATGTGGGGCTGGGGATGTGGCTCAAGCGGTATCGCGCTTGCCTGGCATGTGTGCGGCCCGGGTTCGATCCTCAGCACCACATACAAAGATGTTGTGTCCCTTGAAAACTAAAAAATAAATGTCAATCTTTCTTAAAAAAAAAAAAAATCCTTCAATAGCATGTCATTGTCATTCCAGTAAAATCTAAAAATCCCTCTATGGCCTAATACAAAAGACCCTGCAGAAGCTTTCCAACGCCATTTCATTCCATTCTCCCCTTGTTCCCAGGAGCCTTCCCTTCAGTCTAACGCCCTGTCTTCAGGTCTTTACATTTTTTACAGGCCTCAGTCTGAAATACAGCCCCAGTTTTTCACATGGTTAGCACAAGCTTCTGTTTCAAGTCTCAGCTCCAATGTCACCTCTTCTAAGAAATTCTTCTTGACCCTTACTAGCCAAAATGGTCTGTTCTAATACACTCTTTTAGATCCACCAAGCACTTCTTAAGTTTTTCTTAATCTGTAATTACCTCGGTTGTGTTTTCTCTCTTCCCAATTATGCTGTAAATCCCAAGTACAGATATCCTGTCTTGAATTCCTCTAAAGCCTACTTTTAAATACAGCTTTTTCCCTCTACACTGCCTTATTTTAAGCTTTATTGGATTTTAATCAAAGGTTGCAATTACTTTGACATTTGCCATGAAAAACAAGGGAGGAAATGCCAGAAAATTAAAAAAAAAACAAAAAAAAAAACTGGCACTCCACGCACTCAGTGATCAGACTGATGTAGACTGCACATAGGCATTCAACCGTTGTGCCTTACAAAAAACTCCAAACAGGAAAGAGAAATGTGGACATACTACCTACTAAGATGGTGTAATTCTGACATCTACATGAAAAATTTTGGTTGGTTTTCCATTTCTATCACATTGGGAATTAAATACAAGATCTTGCACATGCTAGGTAGGCACTATACCATAATTACACTCCCATTTCCCTCCACCATTTTAAATCTTTTTATTTTGAGCCAGGACCTCCCTAAATTGCCCACCACACCCCCAAAATGTAGGGAATCACTTTAATCTTAAGAGTTCAAGATCAGTCTAGGTAACATAGCAACACCCTGTCTAAACAAATGAGAAGGGGGAAAAAAAGAAAAAACAAGAGCTGGGAGTGTAACTCAGCAGTATTGTGCTGCTTAGCATGTATGTGAGGTACTGGGTTCAATCCCTAGTACCCAAAACCAAAACAAAACATACTACTACCCTAATTAAAATCCATTCTCCTTAATGATTATAAAACATAACTAAAATTTGAGAATAAAAAAGAAGAGCTAGCACAAAAGAAGGAAAATACATGATCTTTGCTCTGGAGTTAGACCCCATTACTTGACCAGGTTCTCATTTTAGTCATGTCGTCTGTTCAGCACCTGTTCTAGGTGTTTCTTCCTGAACTGTTTTTATTCATACTGTTATTTGGTTTCATGTTTAGAATGATATTTGCCCATCCTCCTTTCCAAAACCCAAAAGATATGTCTACAATTCAAAATTCAGGAAACAATCCTTTCTTATAAGGATTTATCTCTAGGTCTTTATTTCAGTGTCTTTTCTACTCTATTCCTAATTCCTGTATAAATCTTGGATGCAAGTCTATTTTAGTTACACAGTTGTCTTGACTAAACTAGATAGTTTGGCTAGACTCAGACACCCAAACGTTATATAACTTCTCAAAAGAATGAGACAATCTACTTTTTAAAATGTACTGATTTTAAAATCACGAATACCTAAGCCTTATTCTACAAGACAATAATTTCAAGACTTGACAAACAGCCAGGAGAAAAATAAAAACGAGAATAATGTGAAGTATACTGTGCAAAACTCAAAATGATATAGACCTTAATTCCCATGTTCCAATTCAAAAAGGAACACAGTCAATACAGTATATTCCAAATATGTATGTTATGCTGAAATCACTTGAAAAGCTTTGGATAATAGGCTCCTATTCAAATTAGAGGGTCCTGGGCAGAATTTCAGTCCTGAAGGGGGTTAGGGTTGTAATGAAGTTGGGAATCAGAGGTTAAAACTGAGATTGCCTAACACATTATTAAAAGGACACAACTGGTCCTAGCAAATAATGATACAAATCTATATTTTAAAAACATCTCCCCTTCTGTCAGACTGGGAAATCATGGGTGTAAATTAAAAGCTTTTGGAATTTAATGTGTATTTTAGCACTTAAAATGGCAAAACCTGAACAATCAGGCCATTTCTATGAACATTAATTTCTTTCCTAATTTTTTTTTAATTTTTTTTATTAGTTGTTCAAAGCATTACAAAGCTCTTGACATATCATATTTCATACATTTGATTCAAGCAGATTATGAACTCCCGTTTTTACCCCGTTTAATTTCTTTCCTAATAAGCAGATAATAAGATCAATATTTCAGGGATGATGTAATAAATAGGAATTATATAAAGCACCAAACACAGTTCCTGGCATAGAGTAGATTGTTTAATATATGGTGGGTTTTGTTAAAGGGTATCTAACATTCACTACTTGTTCATGGACACATCTACTGGTGCCACTGTTACTTTTCTCCATGAGAATTTAACTATTCACTCTGCGGACTCCTACAGAGATAAGAGCTTTATAGGCTTTCAGTAACAATTTAAGACCTTCAAATACAACCCTTTAACTATAGAGCTACTACCCCAAGGATACTTATTTTTGGATGCTTTCAGGTACAGTCTTCTTTTAAAGGGAAAGGAAAAAGGTAAAGTGGTTTAAAGCGAGTTAACGTTTTCAGATGGGAGTTCTAAAAAACTTTTAATTCACTATCACTTGAAGTAATACCAAAGCAAACCATGTTAAAATCATAAAACCCATCACCTTCCCGTATTTTGACCAAATAAATATATCTCCAGGATTTTTACAATCACCCAAAAAAGAAAACACAGGGTACCTATGAGCAGCATGTTACTGGAAAGCAGATACGCACTGTCTTCAACTGTCCTTTTGTTGCTGTTTGTTTTTAATTTTGTAACCGGCTTTGCCTACACTGAATAACTAGAAAAGGATGAAGGAAAAGCTTTAATACCCGGCCCTTCAGCCGGGCCAGAGAAAACAAAGCCGCCGAGTCTGGCCTTAGGAGAGAAGGCAGGAACTCCTCACCTCCAATTTGACCAGGGGGAAGCGGAGATTAGGAGGAAACCCATCAGCCGCGAAGTCGCCCTCGGGTCACTTTTCCCCTCAGAAACCTGTGGGATCGAGCAAGTCGCCGCCCCAGCCCCTTCCCACAGCCAGCAGGCAGCCTGGTATTTTGGGTCTAGGGGTGTGGGGACGGCGAGGGCTGCGTGGCCCCGGTCCCATCTACAGAACTCAGCGCCCCGCGCGCTGCTCCGCTCCGCCTGGCCCCGGACATCGCGGCGCCCGGGCAGGTGAGGCGACCACGGAGGGCGCCGCCCGCGCCGCGAGGGAAGATGGCGCCCGCCGAGCAACTGCGCCACCAGCCCTGGCGACAGGCCAGGCTCAGCGCCATCTTAGCGCCTTCCAACCCCCCACCCCCCACCCCCAAGATCCTGCATTCTGGGCCACTCCGAGGCGCGAGCGGCGTCGGGTTCGCGCACTCTCGGCCAAAAAATCGCCGCCACTGCCTCCGGTCTCTTTCAGCCGGCCGGACAGCGTGGGCCGCGTAGGAGGCGCCTGCCTGGGCCGCAGGTCGGCCTCCGGTCCTCCGCGCCGTGCGGGGGCTCGGCCCGGCCCGGCTCAGGGTCCACGGCGGTGCTTCGGGGCCAAGCAGCAAGGCGACCGGGAAGGGGCAGTCCCGCCGGCAGGTGCGCGCCGCGGGCTAGGGCCGGGTGGTCTGCCGGCCTGAGCTCTCCACGCCGCGGCCCGACCGAGGCCCTCCTGCTCTCCGCGCCGCGGCCGCCCTCAGAAGCGGCGGGAAGGAGGAAGCCAGAATGAAAAATAAACCCGGTTTCAGCCGCCGCGGCCGCCGCCTTCCTCCCCACCCTCTTCTCTCCCCTCCCCCGACGCGGGGTCCATTTTGCTGAGAAGAAAGAAAATGCGATTCACACCCAAGAGCTTCCGAGAGAGAAAAGAAACGAGGGGGGGGAAACCGAGGGGAGGAGATTGGAAAAGCTTATTTTTCTTGCTCGCCTGCCGTCACTCCAGGCCCTCCCTGCCCCCTGCTTGCGGCCCCGCCGCGCTGTCCTCCCCTCTCCGAGCCCCGCTCCCTCCTTCCCGGCTCCCGGCGGCTCCGGGGGGCGGAAAACACACTCGCGCACACAACTAATTTTAAACCGGCTCAATCAATGAGTCATTAAAAGGCTTCCTTCCCCTCCCCTCCCCACCACCAACCGCCACGCCACCCCCTTCCCGGCCTCTCCCTCTCCCCGCTCCAGAAATTT